ACAGTAAATATTGAGAGTAATCTTTTTTTGGGGGGGGCGAAGGAAAATTTTGTGGATTCTTCACAGAGAAAAATCGTACACATTCCTGATAATTATAACAAAACTATATTTTAGATATATAAAGCGCACTCTGCGGTGAAAAAGAATATTATTGTACATGAATCGTTTAATATATATTGGACTAAGCTTCAACCACAAAACTTGCAACATCAAGAAAACTAGAGAATATATATGTGTGTGTGTGTGTATGAAGTAGACAAATGTCCTTTAATGCAGTTAAAGTCAAAGGAAACCAGATATATATAAAATGCAGATGTATTTATTTAAACTAAAAATAATTTGGGAAAAACGCATTAGAAAACCTAGAAATAGCTCGTTTACAGAGGACAGAAATATGAAATATCAGATAGAATAGATATAATGAAGATGTAGCTCCTTTAAAGTAAAAGAGCTATGAAATATCAGAAAAGATGCAAATAATATAGATGTAGATCCTTCAAAACAAAAGTACTTTAATAAATTTAGAAATAGCTCCTTTAAAACAGCTAGAATTATACAATATCATGTAGGATAGACAATATTTAGAAGTACATTTTAAAGGGGCTAAAGTTACGGAATATTAGATAGAATATATATATTAGAAGTATCTTCTCTAAAGGGTCAAGAGTTAGGGAATATTAGATAGAATACATTTAGTATAGAAGTAGCTTCTCTAAAAGGTCAAGAGTTGTGGAATATTAGATAAAATACATTTAATACAGAAGTGGCTTTTCTAAAGGGTATAGAGTTATGGAATATAATATAGAATAAATATAAAGTAGAGGTACATTTTAAAGCAGCTAAAGTTATGGAATATCAGATAGGGTAGATAAAAGTAGAAGTAGCTTCTATAAAGCAGCTAGAGTTATGGAATATCAGATAGAATACATGTAATATAGAAGTAGCTTCCCTAAAGTAGCTAGAGTTATGGAATATCAGATAGAATAGATAACATGTAGATATAGTTCCATCTAAAAACGAGGTCAAAATATATATATTAAAATACCAAAGAATATTTATTTATTAACATTTATTCACCACTTAAAATTTTTAAACATTGACTCTATAACATAATATAAGGCTTATCTGAACTACTACTTGGTATATTTTATTTTGGTTTTGGATACAACTCAATGTCATAAATATTCTGAATTAAACTATTTTGTTGTTATATTACCGAAGTTATCAAAGAATAAAAAACAAACCTTTCTAACAAATAAACATGAATATTGAGCATTCAACATAAACACCATAGTTGACTTAAGAACAATTAGGTGATATTTTTGTTGCCAAGCGACGATGTATATTGTTGAGCATTACCAAAAAAGAAGCGTGAAAGCGATTTCGACAGAATGACAAAGGAAGTAGGTCTTTTATAGTTAGTTATATATATATATAATGGAGATGTAATTCCTATAACACAGACATGTTTGTTCATGGAAAATCTGTCGTATGTATTTACATTTTACAATTTGAATATTCGTAACTTCTTATCAGAATTCCATCATTTACGTGCAAAATAATGAAATAATCTACAAACCCTAGTCGTTCATTTAAGTGACTTTTTCCATTTCATTCTTTGCTGTCATTAAAATACGCATTACCAATTCAAGTAATCATCGAAACGACTTTCACACTTTACATCAATTACAGTCTTTAATCACCACTTGCAAGAGTGATAATTACATGGGTAAAGACAGATATATTCAACGTTAAGTTTGGCTTGACAGGTTTATCATCGGTTATTTCCTAAAATCACATGTATATAGAGGCATTTAAAACAAATGTTGTTCTACAACTCATTTGACAATATAGAAAGAAAATATACACTTATTATAACAAAAATTTAATAAAATGATATGTATGAGACCATGCTGTTTGCTATCTCTAGAAAATAAAATATGCACACGTTTCAACATTCGACCATAGCATTTTAACATGTTTTAATAACCAATTAATGCATTTGTAGACAATTTTTGTGTGTTTTTGTTAGGCTTTAAGTTTTACAGCTATTTATGTCAACGATAAGATTGTAGTTTTCGTATAATAACACATATTCAGAATATATTTTTATTTCAGAGACAAATTACTCAATCTAATAAATCAATATATTAGAAGAAATGTATTCAAAGGTCTCCCTCAAGCTTCTTGGAAAAAATTAAACCTAAACTATGGAATTGTGTTAAGTTTTTTTGTTAAAGTATTTTACTTAACCATTGTTAACAGCGTGTGCTATTTTTTAGATAGAACATTTTGTTATGATTTTTGACTTTAAGTTGTCCATGATATATTTATATAACAAACAATACTAAAAGACTCGGATGACATTATCCTTTTAAATTTTTATTACTTTTATGTTTTTATTTTATAACTGCATCCTGGTGGTTCAGCGGTCTGTCAGCTTGAGGGCCTATAGCTCTGAAATTCGGGGCTCGATATTCAGGCACAGATAACCCATTGTTTTAGCTTTCTGCTTAAACAAGCATACAAAAATATTTTCGAACTAAAAAGAAACTGAAATATCAATTTTATTGCTTAATATAGAATGCTTGAATTTATCATCATTAAAATTTGACACTGGATCATTTAACATCAGGGTCGAAGTATTGCTTTGAAATACATTGATCTAATATTGATAATATATCATAGACTTAAACACAACCATTGATTAATAACAAAAGCGAAATATAAGCAAAAGGAATTCCAGCTATTATTGTAGCATGCACTTGCATAGAGTTAGCATATCATTATAGAAGCTTGCACACTGACACAAGAAACGTACCTCTACATTCACAAGTAACAAAATTTACAGCAGTTTGCACATTCACCAAAGTAACACATTTTACAGCAACTTAGAAATTCTTACAAATAATTTATCTTAACAGCAGCTTGTGCATTCACACACGTAATACACGTTACAAAATACTGTACATTCACATAGATCATACATTTTTACAGCAGCTAGCATATACCTGTGTCGATGACACGCAGGAACTGGCCACAACTGTGTTCAACTAGATCAAACTCATTCAGCTCCACCATTTCTTCAATAAGGAGGGCGTTCTTCTCCTGCCAGCTAACCCTAACTTGGTCAGTAGTTTGTGCGTCTATAAGAGCATAAAAAAAATATTATAATATGCAAGGTAAAATATCAAACAAACTTTATAATAAAAATAAGTTCCCGAATGACTATCTTGTTCGTATAAGTTTATATTAAATCCCACGAGGACCATAAGAAAACGAGTACTAGGGTTTAAGATGCCAGCAGAAGTCACCTGTATAGAAACATGTAATACAATTCTGTATTAGGCTACATAGCGGTTATAAGAAAGCAACCCCTAAGGTTTAAAATAACAACAGGAGTCACCTGTATAGAATCGTGCTGTATAATTCTATATTTGGCTGCACAGCACTACAAGAAAACGAGCTTATGGTTTAAAGTAACAACAGGAGTCACCTAATAGAGAATTCTGTTGCTGGTGCTTTTTGGACTATAGTAGCAAAATTATTCATAATATTAAGTGGTAAATCTAGCATATTAGCTATTGTTTGGATTTTAGACTGCTGTTGAGGTATATAGATGTGGATTATACCAGAGAAACATTCTGAAACAGAAAAAAAAAAACGTTGTTTATCACCTTTTTAAAAATAATTAGCTCTATTTTCTTGTGTCAAAGGCTTTTCTTCATAGTTTACTTGAAGAGTTTATCAAAGTCGACATTCTCTGACTCACTGGAATGTTTAAAGTTCTACTTTTGTAAGCAAGTATGGAACACAATGGAAGCCCCTCTGTAATAATTCATTTTTACATTAAGATCCAAAACGATGCATTGTGTCAAAAAATTTATAGTGCGTAGTTTAAAATGTTGTTTAAAGAACCTTTACTCCAGAAGATAGGACTCTTTAAATGTGATCTTATTTCTGGCCTCGCGTGCTTTCCAAGTACCATTAACTTAGAAAACTAAACATTTTTTAAATTTCGCCAAAGCTACACGAGGACAATCTGTGCTAGTCGTTCGTAATTTAGCAGTGTAAGACTAGAGGGAAGGCAGCTAGTCATCACCACTCACCGCCAACTCTTGGGCTACTCTTTTACCAACGAATAGTGAGATTGACCGTCACTTTATAACGCTCCCACGGCTAAAAGGGCGAGCATGTTTGGTGGGACGGGGAACCCGCGACCTTCAGATTGCGAGTCGAGCGCCCTAATCACCTGGCCATGTCGGGCGCTGTGTGTATAAATACTAAAATGTGTAGAAAACATATACGCTCATGGTAAAATCTGAAGTACAATCTACAATTCCCAACAGAAAACAAAAACATGTAAAACTGTTTTACAAAAAAAAACAATGGTTGAGAATATAACATTCTGCAGTCCCAACTAACACATTATATCACATGTGGTCGGTTCTGAAAAACTTCTGGTGATGAAAAAGGACAATAAAAGTTTATGGTGGTAAACAGAAAAATTAAATTAGGAAAGAGTCATTACGACATGCATTTTTTTCCAGATGTTTCCATTTCTATTGAATTTTTATGTGAGCAATTCACCAATCATAAACTATTGGTTTTCCAAAGTGATTTAATTTACTAAAGCGTTTACACAGCCAAGTGGTTCAGGCACTTCCATCTTTACTTTAATATGCCCTCAAAGTGAATTGAAAGCGAAAAAGTAATCAGTTCTTTAAAATAATTTAGTGGCCACTCTACACATGTAAGAACAAATAAAAAGCTTTTAGCCATTACCAAATATTCTCACACAAAACAAACAAATTTAAACCGGCTGTTAGAAATCACCTTACAAAGAATATGGTTTCCTAATAAATTTATTGACATTTGAAAGTTACTGGAATTTGCTCTTAAACAGATGTAAATATACTTTTTACATTTTTGAGTAAATTACTTGACTTTGGTCTGTTTATCTAGTTAAAATGTTTCTACCAAGCTAGCAATTCTGAATCAGAGTTTTCAGGTTCCTTTACGGCAGGAGTTTCAGTATTTTTTTTTGTCTTCTATCTTTACCTTTGAACTGTTGAATTTTCAAACCTTAAATCTTGTAATTTCACTCTCAATTCTAACGTATACTAGAAATTTGTCTGACAAAACAAATTTTTTATTAAGGTGGTATCAGCAAATGGAGGTAAATAAATACGTAAATAAAAAATTCAGATATTTGTCGGCGATTTTGTTTTTACATAACAACAAAAGTCAGTACAAATGATTTACTCAAGTTATGATTAACGCAATATGAGCATGGAGGATCTAGGCTTAAAACAAGTGGTGAAGAAGGACGACATGGTAATTGTGAAGTTAAAAACATCGTCAATGAAGGATGTGAGCAACTCTATAACTGAAATATTAGCTACAACATCAGTAGTGAATAAGTAAAACACAGTAACCGAGAGATATATCGACATCAATGGCGAATATGTATGACATAGTAACAGAGGGATATGTCAATATCAGCGGTGAACAAGTATAACATAGTAATCGAGAGATATGTCAATATCAGTGATGGATACGTAGCACATAGTAACCGAGAGATATGTCAATATCAGTGGTGATTAAGTAAAACATAACAACCGAGAGATATGTCAATACCTGTGGTGAATAAATAGAACATAGTAACTGAGAGCTTCATGAAAACACCTGTAGTGATTAATTAAAATATAATAGCTGAGAGGTTAACGATATTATCAGTGGATAACTATAGGATGATAATTGAGAGGTTATAACTGAACTTCTGTGGTGACAACATTTAGGCCAAAGATAATAACTTTATCAGTGAATAGTTGTATTATGACATCTTAGAATGTAACAGTGAATAAATGTAACAGAAGAATTAAATGATGAATTTCGGTAGTGATTATATATGACATAACATTTAATTTTTTTTTGTCAATTAACTTTGCACTTGTGATCTTTCAGATTATGATTCGATGAATACTTAACGACCAAATCATTCAAATATTCAAAACGTCTAGTTTTTGGGGGGTGGGGGGGGATTTATAAAATTTCTACTAAAATCTGATTTTTAAAATTTATAAATAAAAAATAATTCCAAATTAAAAACGAAATTGTACGAAACATCTTTTCAAAACATTTATTATTTATAAAGCTAAAACGCTTCTTGTGAACTAACTAGTTATAGCTGTCTAACTTTTACATTGTCATAGGGCCCGGCCTGGCCAGGTGGTTAGGGCGCTTGACTCGCAATCTGAGGGTCGCGGGTTCGAATCCCCGTCACACCAAACATGCTCGCCCTTTCAGCCGTGAGGGCGTTATAATGTGACGGTCAATCCACTATTCGTTGGTAAAAGAGTAGCCCAAGAGTTGGCGGTGGGTGGTGATGAGTAGCTGCCTTCCCTCTAGTCTTACACTGCTAAATTAGGGACGGCTAGCGCAGATAGCCTTCGTGTAGCTTTGCGCGAAATTCAAAACAAACAATCATTGTCATAGTTTCTATTTACTGATAATCTAACTCCCAGTATTGCTTGATATTTCATCGAATTAGTCTTACATCGCTGGTTTACCGCTGTAATTATCTTCTAGCGACCAAATACCAGCTCTTTGTATTTTCATTATGTAAACTGTTCCATATTCTTAAATAACACTATTATTTTGACACTACTCACACCAGTTGAATATACTTACAAGGGCCCACGATAACGTGACATCGTTGAGTGTCGAGAGGGTAGTGTCGGAAAGACATGTGACAAGATAACTTAAGAGTTAGTCTGTGGGAGAAACATCAACTATTAGCCCAAACGTGCTCTAAAAATATTAAACGTTCCAAATATTATTCCACGTACAGGAATAGTTTATCGAGAAAACCTTACAAAATTACCAGGATGTTTCTTTTATTCTACTTTAATGGCATTCCTGAACTATATTTCGCAATTAAATTAATATATATTTTTTGGCAAACTTTAATTATATTCATAACCAATATTTTATCATTAAAAGCATTTTGGATAAAAACGTACACATGAAAAAAATCCTCAGCATTCCTCAAAAAATTCTATTTTTGTTTTCTCAACTCCTCACAATGTGTATTCTCTTTATGAAAGGCAAGACTGTGATTTTGTTTTATGGAAACTGTTCGATTCTACTTGTTTGATATTCTACAGAAAACTGTTTACACACAAAACTCTCTTTGACTGAGCAAACATTCACTTCATGAAAAGCTAATAAAATTATACTCTGATGGTGGAAAACAGGCTTTTTTACGCAAGGTTTGTAGCATTTGGATATTCAAAGTAACACAGATTTTGGGTAAATAAAACATTTATCAAAATCCGATCAAAATATATAGTTTATACCCTAACCTTATACTGAATAAAATCGACCCATCAAGAGATATTTTTATCAACATATTTGGCACTGTCACTCCTGAAAATAAACAATACTTAATAAAAGCGATCCAACAGGGGGCATTTTACCAACATATTCGGCACTCTGTGAAAATAAAAAAATTCTAACCTAACCTCATACTGAATAAAATTGACCCATCAGGAGATATTTTGATCAACATATTTGGCATTTTGTGGAAATATATAGTTTCTAATCTAACCTCATACTGAATAAAATCGACCCATCAGGAGATATTTTGATCAACATATTTGGCACCGTCACTCTGTGAAATCGTGCTTCCTTCACATTTCTGAAAAAAAGGTCAGGCTTCCATATCCTGTTGATCAAGTCATCACCATTCAAGGTCACTGACTGGTTTATTCCAAACGTGGACAACTTCAGACGTTGATCTTTCCATAACTGCCGCAAGTAAATATCCAAACTGTAATCCTAAAACATAAAGTAGTGAAAATCCAAGAAGTGTTCAAAATATTTAAATATCAACATATATTGAGATAAACCATCATTACTGCCATCTGTCGTCCGCTATTGATTTAAATATACTGGTGATTCAAAAGATAGTATCATGGTATTCAAAAATATGCAAAATAAAGATATAATGATAATATACATACACATATATCATTTTCGTTAAAATATACACCGTGAAGCAGTCTCTACAGTTTATCTTCTGCTATAATATTCAAGATAAGCTGTTATTTTCTTTAATACATTTTTCTTCTGTTTTCTAAATTATCATGGGTAAATAGACTTTTCAGGTTAGATATATTGAGTTTGTTTTGTAAATACATCATTTATATATAATAATTTTCGCAATATAGTCATTTCCTAGATAAAAATCAGTCCGAAATAGGCTTGTGTACAAATAAAATAGTAAATGTTATCAATAACGCTGTTAACATTTGGTCTTTTTTTTAGAAAATTATCAGTTGTCTTTACAATGTGCAATTCAAATCCAATGCATATGCATTAATTAATGTCATGCATAAAATTAAAAAAAAATATTTCGAAGCTGTTAAAACTTAATAAAGAAAAATAAGATTTCAGGAATGATTTGTAGTATCCACATTTGGGAGTTTGTTTTGTCGTTGGTAATGACCTATATGCTGTAAATGGAAATTAGAACTAAATATATCAATAATCACTTTCTTCTAATTTTTGTGAGCTTCGTTACGTATTATTATTTCAAACAGCCTAAAATTGCGTTAACTGATAATTTAAATTTAGTAGTTAAATTGTACTTTGGATTTAGTATTTAAATAAATGCCGATATATAGTAAGTTTGTAATATTTGCCAACAAGATTGATACATAGTTTTCTTTTTTAACACAAATACGTTTTAATATACATACAACAGTACAATTTACAATAACAATTATTACCAATAGTTATTACAAACAATGATTTATAAACAAAAGTTTCACAAACTTACAAACAATATAAAGTCTGGAACTTCCTTGATATCTTATCGAGGGTTCACGATGAGCGAGTCAATTACAAGTTGACGTAAGTACGATTCGCTTAACGGGAAGCTAGCTAGCTTTGTCCTTTGCCACACACGCCGAGTTTTCCACCATTAAAGTTAGGTAATAATTTCGTAAAAGTATTAATGGCCGATGTGAATCTACTGAAGGTGATGTTCAAAATTTATAAATATTCCTGGTCAATTATCTGAAGTTTTCCGATTGGTAAGTGTTATAACTATCACAGTTATAGCTTTCGATGTTTATAGCACACTAACTATAACAAACTAATAATAGATACTCTCTCTGCCGCGTCCGTCGCATTGGTTATATTGATAGCCGTGGGAAGGTTTTCTAGAAAATTCAGATTACGTAACAATACAATTGTTTATGCACACACATATATTGTTGATTCTTTTGTTTGTTTTGAATTTCACGCAAAGCTACACGAGGACTATTTGCGCTAGCCGTCCCTAATTTAGCAGTGTAAGACTAGAGGGAAGGCAGCTAGTCATCACTACCCACTGCCAACTCTTAGGCTACTCTTTTACCAATGAATAGAGGGATTGACCATCACATTATAATTCCCCCATGGCTGAAAGGGCAAGCATGTTTGGTGTGACGGGGATTCGAACCCGCGACCCTCAGATTGTGAGTCGAGCACTCTAACCACTTGGCTATGCTGTTGATTCTTACTCTCGAGAGTTTTCTACAACTTTGGAAAATAGGCGGGAGTTTCGCAATACATATTTAACAGTATAAGCTATGTGTGTTTCTAAATATACATTTAATATAAACAAACGTCGATATCAAAACAAATACACAACAACAAACTCGTTACAACTCCCTTCTTAGAGAAGTAAAAATTGGTGTTAGACAATTTTCAACTAAGATATTATATATATATATATATATATATATACAGAC